TTGTTGTTGAAATAAATTACTTAAAGCGATCAGTTGACATTTGTTTTAAATTTAGGTATAAACATTTTATTTTCGCGCAGTTTAAGATTAATATTAGTCGGATCTTGGCGCATTACATACTTTACTTTTAAAATTATTCGAATATAAGTATATGAAAAATTATTTTTCAAAATAAATTATTATAAAAAATAATAAATTTTTACATATACAAATATCCTAAAGTTGGTAGATCAACGACAAAAAACAAAGTTCTTTTTTTATTTAAAAAATTCAAAAGTAAGAGATTTTCAAATACAAAAAAAAATTATAAGAAAAAGAAACAGAAAACAATTCAATTCTTTTTGAGAACGTGACAATGAAGATGTACGTGCAGATTTAAGCGTTTAATTTTACACGCAGATAAATGATTAGTTACGAAAACAATTGAGGGGAAAAATGAAGTTCAAAAGGAAAGAATTTTATAAGTTGTTGTTTTTTTTCCTTTAATTTTTTTCTTTTTCCATTCTTAACATATTCTACATATGTACATATATATATTTATATATATAGAAAATTAGTCTCATTGACCCTTTCACAAGAATCCATCATTAATTATTATTTTTTTTTTTTTCGAAATAAAAGCATTTTTTTTCCGTAAGAAATTAAAAAATTTCAATATTAGGATTTTTAAAAGTATAATGCACTTTAAAAAAAAAAAGCAATCTCGTATTTTTTTGTGTATAAAATACTTAAGGCACGAACTTGAACTCATCTTGAAATACCTTAGGTTACTGAGCAATTCATAATGAAATTTTCATTGAGAAAGACTTTTTGTACGCAAATTTCAAACGTCCCTTTACGTACGTACTTATACTAACAATATATTGCGGAAATTTTACTTCTGGAAAAGCTTTAGTTCTTACAGAATTTTCACCATATAGTCGATAGAAATTGTATTTGAAATTAGTATTACTTTAATTGAGCAACTAATTCAGTTCTAATAATTTTCTTAATATTGCATTTTGCATATTAAAATTTGTATTGCATTATCGTATAAAAAATTTAGTAAATTTTCAAACTGAAAATGTCATATCGTAATTTTTAGCACTTTTCCAAAAAAATTTTGAAAAAAAGTGCTTATTAGTTTCACTCTGTCCGTCCGTCCGTCCGTCCGTCCGTCCGTCCGTCCGTCCGTCCGTCCGTCCGTCCGTCCGTCCGTCTGTCCGTGTGTCTGTTTACAAAACTTCTACATTCTTAAAGATAGAAAGCTGAAATTTAATACGTACATAGATCTTTACTAGAAACTTATTTTTGTAGAACAAACTTTTTACCTATCTCCCCCCCTCTAGAAGTTATACCCCCCCAAAGCACTAAAAATGGCCTATTTTAACTATTTGTTGCAATGAAACCATAAGCATTTTTGAAATTTTTCAAACGCAGAAAGGCAGTGACTTGCTTCCCCTACCGCGGTATACTATAGTTAAATTTTAGAAAAACAAAATGGCCGCTCAAATTTACCGTTATCTAAAGTCCTTTTTTTCCAAATTTTTGATGTCGCTTTTCTTCTAGACCCCAGCCTGTAGAAGCTTGAAATTTTAGGGGCTTTTAGACATTAACAAGTAGTTAATTTCGTTGGAATAAAATTTTTTTTCATCTCCACCCCCTCTCAAGTTATGGCCTCTTGAAATTTGTAAAATTTGAGTTTTTGACACCTTATATTTCCGAAACCGCAAACATTTTCAAATTTCTATAAACACAAGAAGCTAAAGGTAAATTCCATGACATTAAAAAATATAATTATTTTTCTTAACTCACACAATTAACCCTTAAAATCGAGCATTATGTTAACCCCACTTTATATTAATTTTTGCTTTATTTCAAAGACTGCATGTATGCATCATCCTAAATATATGCAATCCTAGAAATAGTTTTGTATATGAATGAAAACAATTTTAATAGTGTGGATATACATAGACTGTTTTTAAAAGCAGAATTTTCACTTGTTGAAGGGAAAAGTGCTGCAATACAAACCATTGGTTTGACCCAACTTTATTTAATTTAAACGTATATCACGCTTATGACACGGCAATACTAATACGTGATATATGACGATTAAAAAACAAAGTGGTGGTCGAATTTAAATTCAATATAGTTACTAACGCTAATCGAAACCAAAAACACTTTAAATGCCTTTTAGTTTTTTGTCGTAAATTTTTAAATAAATATAGTCTTCCTGTCTCTTATATACCGTAGTACTCGTACCATAGATCGCCTAAATTTACCTTGAATTTAAACTAACTATTCATTCCGTTTTGAAAATTCTTCTTATAAAATTTCTTTTAAATTTTTTTTTAAAATACGCATACAAATTTCTTTAAGTTTTAGAATTGAAATTATGAAAAAATTTTGTAAGTTCATTTAAAGTACTAATGATGTAAACTTTTTGGGCCAGAATGACTAAATTTTGCACCAATGAGCTTGGTACCTAAATAAATACTAAAAATAGCTTCAAAATGGATACGACAAAGCTAAAATATAGTTGTTGTCACCATTTAGACGAAATTATATTTACATAGAAAATAAATAATATTACTTATATACAGAAAATAAATTACGTACAAAATTTTTAGTATAAATTTTTGAAACTTTTCGATGGTTTTCTTCAAATTCAAAAATCAAACGTTTAAAAGACTATGTATTACAACTATTGAGCAAAAAAAACGCATCGTTTATTCCTTTTGGATTATTTTATGCGCATTCCATACACACACTTATAATGTATAGTTTATGTGTTTATAGTACAAAAAGTATATTACAAACCTATTTTCTTGTGGTGAATATTTTTTTAATATTATAATTATGCACAACTCTTGTCTTCATTTTTCAAATTTTGAGTCTAGAACTATAATTTATTCTAATAGAATTTAAATATAATTTCATAAGAAATTATAAATTTCTCTATTTCAGTTTTGGTTTCGAAAGCTCCCCTCAAAAACATTTTTCAAAGAAAAAGGTATTTTTCCCCCCTCCCAATTACTTAAAAATAATTTTGAACTCCTCTTGTTTTTTTGCTTTTTGCTTATATATATATAATTAAATAGAATGATAATGACATACAATCGATATTTATGAGTCGAAGAAAAAATAAATAGAATAATTAAAAGAAATTACTTGATATAAAAATAAATTTGAAAAAAAAAAATATATTTGATCTTAAAATTAATAAATAGGGTTGAAATGGAAAATTTTGGGATATCAAGGAAAATTTTTCGAATTTAATTAAATTAAATTATTTGATTGAAATTATTGCGAATTCAACAAATTTTAAAGAGATTTTGAAGTAGAATTAACAGAGCGTATTCTTAGAGGCGAAAATGGATTTGATCAATGCAAAATTCTTTTTTGATTTTTACAATAAAACTTACGTGATTCAGTTCTAAATCTTTTTTATTGTCAAATTAGTACGAACTATAAACAATTTGTTTGCGTAATCAATGTTGAATTGAAAGTGTTTGAATTAAATATAGAATTCGAACCGCTGTATATTCAAATTCTTTTTCCTCGAGCTTGTTCTTAAATTTGCATTTACTTGAAATTTTCTAATTCGATTATTCCATAATTTATTTTTTATATTTTACGTATATAAACGAAATAGAAGTTCCATAATATTTGTTACTGCTTATTATATAAACATTTTTGATATTTTTAATTTAACCCTAAAAATTATTTAAAGTTTAAAACTTCGTGTGCGTAGAAATGAGACGCTTAAATGTAAAATATGTAGATCGAATTTCTTCTTTTTATTTTTGGTTTTTTTTTTTATTTAATTCATTTAACACCCGGTATAATAAATTTTTTTTTCTATTTTTTCTGTTGATAATGAGGTAATTAAAGTACCTTCTTAATATGATGACTGTGGTTCTGAATAGAATTTTGTATTTAAATAAATTTTAAAATAATTGTTTTCTTAAATAATTTTTAGAAATAATCCTTTGAAAATTAATTGCGAAAGATTTAAAAAACATAATCAGTTAATATAATAAATTTTAATAAAGATCTAATATCACGTGTTTTAAAATTAAAAAGAAAAATTCTATAGTTGATTCATGGTGTGGCAACAATGTTGGTTTTAAAATTCAAACAAGCTTTAAATTATTTAATGAATAATCTAAGGGAATTATTAAAACCACTAAGGCAAGCGATATTTTATAATAAAATCGTGCACATGCACCAATTAAAGAAAATTTGTGAGAATTCGAAAAACCAGTAGTAGAGAAATTTTTTTTTTTGCACAGGTGATGATATGTGCTCGCTTAAAAGTATGTTTAATGTTATGTAGTATTTATAAAGTTAGCAGTTCTTTATAAATATAATTATTTCAACCAAGCCCTATTAACCATGTGCGGTCTATGATTTGTAAGCCTATTCCAGCTAGCATTTTACTTTAATGTCTTTTTCAAATCATCATTAAGTCTGGATGACTAATGCAACATTGGTTTGGTACTCAATGCTAGTAGTTCCAATCTTCAAACTCTCCAAGCTAATACAATAATTTTATTATTCAAATATGTTTAAAAGCTTTGCTATATAATAATTCAAAAATCGCGAAATGTCAAATTTGAAAGTTGATATTATAATACCCATTACATTATCAACTTTCTGACACATTTCCGAATTTTTTTTTTGCAAAATTTTTACAATACTATAGTGCAAGTTCATACCTTGTTTTCATACCTTGTTTTAAAATGAGCTAATCTATTGATTCTTAATCTACTTTATAGGTTTTTAAAGGTTGCATGACACCTCCAATAAATAATTGTAAATTTAAATTCAATAAATTTATTTAGTGCTTATTTGTATTGTAAAAACGATAACCTCAATAAACAATGTACGTAAAATCGATTTTTTAAGTTCAAATAGAAGTTATGCTATAATGGAAGTATGTAAAATCGAAAATAATAGTATGAATTTATAATTTGACAAAAAAAATGAAATTAATTAAAAATTAAATGTTCACTTACCTCTTTTGCAATTTGATCGAGTGCTTGATCTTCGGCATTAACACGTGAATTGCCTCGACGCCTACCAACAGCGCCGGGGCTATCCATTTTTCTTTTTTAAAAATTATCGTTATTTTGACTAGACAGAATAACAACAACAATAACAACAGCAACAAAAAAAAATTTTTTTGTTGATTCAAAAATAAATTTGTTTTTCGTTTTTCCTTTTTTTTTGCTAATTTTTAACAGGTAATGAAAAGTAACTGTTCAAAATAAAAAAACAAAACAAGAACAGGAAAAAAAACTTTTTTACTGTTATCCAAATGAGGGGAAGGAAGTGGTATGTTTTCGTTGTTATTGTTTTCGGGTTTTTTCTTTTTGATTATTAAATTTTTTTTTTTTGTTTTTGGTCTTTTTTGATTTTGTTGCTCTGTATTTCACTATTTTTTAGGGCACTTTATTTCTGATATGAATGTTGATGAACTACAACACAACATATACACATATAAATTTTCAAGGTGAATTCAAAGCTCTACCATTAAGATGTTATGCGATTTGTGGTTGTGGTGTAGTGTTCAAGATGATATAACGTTGTTTGTTGTTGGTTGTTTGTATTGATGGTGGATATGATGAGTTTTTTTTTTTTTTTGTGAATGATGACGAAGATGAATTTCGAGCGCACGAACACAAAACAAAATTAACAAAATACAATAAAAATCTTCTTGGTTTTTTGATATCCAAAATTATCTGGAATCCTTTTTTTTTGGTTTATTAACATATTTTGAAGAAAATAACAATAAACAGCCACAAGTTTTTGATTTTCCACACAATTTATTTTTGTATTAATTTTTTTAAGTGATTGATACATGAAAGAAAAGAAAAAAATGAGAAAACATAAAATTTTAATGTTAGCATAAATTTTTTTTTTTTAATTAAAGTATACAAAACAAATAACAAATATAGCAAAAGATAAAAATTAAATATGTCAAATGTAATATGCAATAGCGCCATCAATAATTCAAAATCTAAACTACATATATGAATTTAATGCCAAAATAAATTTCGGTGAGTTTTCATTTTATTTCAAGATCAAATATATTTTAAACTCTTCATTTTAAATAAACCTTAAATTAATAGGTACAATTTGAGACCAACATTTTCTCCTTCATTTCAATTGAAAAAAGGTTTTCAGTTTTATTTTAAAATATTATGACTGACTGAATGGAAAAATTGTTTTAATTTGAAAATTACACTATATATATACAAATGTGATAATAACTCACTTTCTTCTCAATTTCAAATAATTAAAAAATTGAAATACAGATTTAGATCAACTGGTTTGTGAACCACTCGTGTAACTAAACCGGTAACCAAAAATGATGTAATTTTAAATAATTTTCCTATTTTCCTATTCTGTTCCGAAGCTAGATTGTTCGTTATACCGTTATTAGAAATTCTGTAAAAATTCTCTCCCAACTCTCTCTCTAAAATCAAAATTACGTAAGTATGTACAAGAAATTTTTCACACAAATTTTTGCAAAATAATACCTATTATATTTTTACTTAATATTTGTTCCAATTTTCGACAAACATTACTTAGTATTTATGGCACTACTGCATAACAACAAGTGACATAAAATATACTTATAAAAATGGTCAAAAAATGAATGACTTTTTTTTTAAACAATTCATGGGAATCAAATACAATTTTGTTTGAGTATGCTTATGGTTTCAAGAGTTATCAATTCAAAGTTCGACTATTTAATAAGATATCTTAAAGCCAATTCTTTAAAATTTTCAAAAAATAACTCAAATTTTCAACAACAAATTCAGCAATGCAAATTATACATAAGAACATTACGATATCTGCATTTAAATAGAACCCTTTACAAAAATAACTATTTAAAAATATTTACGAATTTAAGGATTTTTTCCCAGACAAACTAAGAATTTATTTCATTTTTTCCCTGCTGCCATTCAACCACAAATATATGAAAAATATTTAATAACTAGAACTGTTTCCACAGCAGACGAATTTAATCACCTTAATTTACTTCTTTTGGGAATAAGTTATTTCTCAAAATTTGCTAAATGAATTTATAATAATATGAGTATATAAAATAAATTCCACTCTCATCTTGTACTATAAAAAACAAATTTAAAATTTTCATTAACTTTAATTGCATACATTTTGGGGCAAAAATAACAACAATTATATTATAAATATTATATTGCATACATTTAGGGATGCATATTTTTTTTATACGAACAAGCAAATAGATATTCGCCTTATATTTAATTTATTCATTGAAAAAATTAAAATATTTTATTATGAAAATTTAATTTGCATTCTTAATTATTATTAAAAACAAAAAAGCAAACAAGAATAAAAATTAAAAAAAAAATTTCATTATTTATTCAAATGCAACACGTTTTTCAAAGTGCTTTAAGATGTTCAATTCATACATATAAGGTAAAAATAAAAATTCATATGTAAATATTTATAAAAAAAATTTCAATAAGAAACGAAAAAAAAAAAACAAAATGTTCTTTTTATAAAAATAATAATAATAATTAAAAAAATAGAGGAGGTTATTTTCGTTTAAATATAGATTTTTCTATAATTTTGTGCATTATATTTGCTGCAAAATATGTATAAAATGACTCATATGTCATTTTATTGCTATACTTTTGTACGTATATGTATATGCAAGTGTTGTTGTATCTATAAATTATTTAAAATGTTAATTTATATGATTACTTATATATTTTGATAATTATTTTAATAATTTACCATGTATGAATGAATATGGCACCGAGTATTATTATTATTCATTTGATATTGATAGTTTTATTCACTAGTTTGAGATTTGTAATACAGACCGAATTTGATATCTTTCATTATTTCAAATTTTACTTGCAGCATATTATAAAAAATGTCACTACTACTATGGAAATTTTCAGTACTAAGCATAATATTTCACGTTGAAATTCAGTAAATTTTATTTAATATTGAAAAGTAAAATTTTAAGTTGTTTTATAGCCAATATTAGAACGGATAATATTTCTTTAGTTTTTATATGCAGCCTTAGCTTTTGTCATTAGTTTTCATAAGAAAATATCAGTTATTCCGGTTAACACAATCAGATAATTTAAAATATTATTTTAATTTAAAATCTAATTTTGATGATTTAAAAACTACATGTAAATTACTGAATACTGTCAAAAACTCTAGCTATATTTTTATAAACAAAATTATCACTCATTCCTGTGTAGCCCCTCTAAATTGAACGAATAATATGTTTAATCGTATACTTGTCAGGAACACGAAATCTCGCAGTAAACATTGATGGTTTGATTAAAATAGCCAGCACTTCTTATCACCACAAAGTCACCGCTTAACCTGAACATTCTACCTTTTGTGAATCCTAATTCACATTTCATTTGTTCGATTACGTTAAGGATGCTCATTACAGTCATCCAATTTAACAATAGCAACTTCAATCAAAGAAAATTGTTCTACTTCTTCTAGAGCCTCAATTTTCTTAAGACGAAACTATCAGAATTAACGTTTCACAAACTAGAAATAACTTTTACTTTTTCAAATAATTTCTTTTAATTTAGCAGTTTTCTTTTATAATTGTCGTAAAATAATTGTATATAAATTTCATTTAATTATTTGAAAACATAAAACCTATAATATATAATATTCAAAATAATTATTAGGTCAATGAACTTTTATACTGAAAAATAATTCATTTCGGCTTTTTCCTTGTTTTTTTTTTTAAACATACACATATACTAATTATATTGAACAACTTCCTATATTTTTAATGTTTTTTTTTTTTTTTCAAAAATTCATTTATTTATTTTTAAAATAATTTCTTAAAAAATTATTAATAACTGTATATATATAAATTTGATCTATGTACAAATTCACATACAAGAATTTTGCACCTGTTTCACACAAGTCAATTTTAATGGTATACATATGTATATAAGACTTTAGCACTTGGGATGGTGTTTGTATAGATTACAAAATATGTTTTGAATAAACTTATGCTTAATGTCCTAAAATTAATTGTTAGAAATTACAAAATTGAATATTTTCATTAGCGCATTTTTCATAAATGCAGTGTTACATTTGCGTTGAACTGCTAACGCTTGCCATGCAGATGATCAATCAAATAATTGAGAATACTTAATATTAAAAATTATTATTAGTAATTACACAGAACAGCTTTTGAAAAATTTTATTATTCATTTAAAAGTCAGTGATTCATTATTAAAATCTTGCAGTTAATGCAATGTCAGATGTCCTGCAATTCAAGTCATTCCATTGTAAGCTTAAATTAGAATCATACAGTAGATTCTCAGAAATATGGGAATTGTACCATAATATCCTCACTGATTATTTAATGGACACTTATAAAGTTATACTCACAACTTTTTAAGCCAATAGATAGACAATATTCAATTCAGTTGAATTTCAAACATATTCATTACAACCGAAGCTAGAAAAAGCCTGTGTAAACGGCATATTAAATCAAAAAAATTAACAGAAATAAAAATATATTACAATTTTTGAAGATCAATAAAAACAAAAAAAAATAAATATTGTCATCAACCAGATTATACTCTTAATAGTGTAAAAAGGAAAAGCGAAAATTTCTATACGAAAGTACATAAGAAATAATTTTGAGACAGTTCCAAAATAATTTATGTTGAATGAAAAAATACAAGCAAGAAAAAAAAAATGAGAAAATCAAAAATTCAAGAAATTAAGAATAAGTACATATGCAATTCAAATTGTGTAAATTATAGATTTAAATATGGCAAATAACCAACTAGTAAAGATTCTCAGAACAGAACAAAAAAAAGTATACAGAATAAGAGAAGCAACTAAACTTGATTAATGTTGGAAGACACAAAAAACAAATTTTCTGAGAAGAAAAAAAACAAGAAGTTTTAATTAAAATAGTTTTCTATATAATTTTTTTTTGAATTTTTAAAAAAATGCCATGCTAGACGACAATATAATGACAAAAAAAAACTTAAGAAAAAATTGCAATATGCGCCCGAATTCTTCTTTTTTTTTGAATTCTTATACAAATAAATAAAATTTATCAAAGAATAACATTCACTGAAAATGCATCATTTTACTTATATATCGTTTTAGACACAGTGTAGATGAAGTGATGGTACAATCAATCACCCATATTCAGTTAGACGCATTGGTCGTGTGATGGAATATTAGCCAAATATTTTTTTTGATTTTTTCATTATAGAATTTAAAATATCCAAATTTTATTCTAAAAATTATAAAATTTTTGAATAATATAGCAATTCCTCAAGTGAAGCATTCAACAAAATATGAGAAAAAGTGTTGCCTATTTTCTTATATTATAATTATGGTATAAATAATTTCGAACGTTGAAGTGCTTGTATTAATCACTTCAATACTCTTATTCATTATTCATTTCAATATTCATTAGAATTTCATATTCATTTAGAATTTTCAATTCATTTAGAACTTTCAATATATTATAAAATCAATCTCAACAACAATTATTTTTTATGAATTTAAATCTATTAATAATCTAATTAAACTATTATTTTTTTTTGGGATTTTTAGATCAAGCAACCAGTGGTTTATATAATCTAAATATAAATTTAATTTGATTAATAATAGAATTTTTTTCAAAATACAAAATTCGACAAAATACTTATGCGTTGCGCTAATTTTCTTAAATAT